CTGGAGTACCAGGTGTTGTTTTTATGTGATGCTGCGTTGTGTGTGGAATGTGCTTAGGTGCACCATCGGAGCGTGTAACTCTGGGAAATGCGGGAAGCAATTGCCAAGGAGCTGATGATTCATTCGGCTGCTGAAGTTTAATTGACTGCACATCCACACTCCTGGTTGTGCCTGTTGTGCGTAGCCAAGTAGTTTCGTCGATAAGTCGTTGGTTTTTGAGGTCCACGAGGAGGCCGTAGTGTGAAAATAAATCAGCGCCAATGATTGGACGCGAGACGTCTGCTACTATGAAGCGCCATGTTAGCGCTCTGCGGAGGCCGATATTTAAATTGATAGTTAGGACGCCGAAGGTATTAATAGGCGTTCCATTTGCTGCGATGAGTTGGTAACCGGTCGCCATCTTCGTGGTAGTGTTACCTCTGTGGGGGTAAACTGAGACTTCGGAGCCCGTGTCCACTAAAAACTGGATGCAAGAGGGTCGGTCTGTAATGAAGAGGCGGGACGATGGTGGAAGAGAGGCGCTTTCCGCCGCTAACGTCTCTCTTATTTGTTTTTCGCTTGTTTGCAACCAGGTGTGCATTTTTGAGCGAGGTTACCAAACTTTTTGTGGTACCAGCAGGTGTTGCTCCTGTTAGCGTTACGTGGACGAAAATGTTTTCTTCCAGTCGTTTGTCGGCTGTCTAAAAGCTTCTGCAGGCATTTTGTAATGTGCGCTAGTTGTTGCTCTACGTCTGAAGGCACGGCGCCTGGACTATTTGCGAACGATGTTGCAGCTACAAGAGTGCCAGTAGACGGTCTGAGCACGTCATGCAGGCGGTCAGCGGCTTCGCCCAATTCTCGTAGCCCGGCTGTGCGTTGTGCGACTAAACATGCGCGCATTTGGTCGGGCAGGTGGGAGAGCCACCTTGCTCTTAATACCTCCTCATCGATGCCTGGAACTAGACTACTTAGGTGTCGAAGATGTTGGGAGGGCGTCCTATCGCCGAGACACTCGCCGTCCAGGAGTTTTGCTTCTCTGGACTTTGAATAGCAAGCGATTAGCGCTGTCTTTAATTTGTGGTATGGATTCTCTGCCGGTGGATTCAAAAAATGTCCTCAGCGTCAGCAGCTATGCGCGTTACAATGAGTGGAATTGCGTGATGGAATTTGTCCACTTCATTTGTGACATTATGGTTCCGGAACTGGGATTCTAATTGCGTGAACCAGAGTCCCGGCCTGTCCTGATTGAAGCTTGGGACACGAATTGTCGCAGGGCTAGCGTTGTTACCCAAGAACATTGATGCTTTCGGCAGGTGTGGCGTTTCGTCGTCGGCTGGCATTTCGTTTCGCTTCCAATATAAAAATTGTAGCTGCAAAGAAAAATGCCAATGGTAGCTGCAAATGCCCTTGAGCGGCTGCTATGCGAAATGGCAGTGCAAAGTAACGTTGCCGATGTCTTGCCCTTATACGCGGCCAGCGGATGGTTGGGTGTGGTGTGACTTTTGGTCGGGGTCACCTTCAGTGGTTGGTAGCGGGATGGTTTTTTTTCCAAGGTTGCGCCAAGGTGACCGCTAAAAGTCCTCGTGGTTGTCGTCGGGGTCACCAATGTGGAGAATTAGTCCTTTATTTAAACACGTCTATCCGACGTGGTAACCAAAATCCAACTATCTGTATTACATTGCCGAAATTACTCTTATATGTATGAGCGAAGTACATCAGGTGATGATATTCGCAATATATAAAATTCATTCTTATGATAGCTTAATTAATAGGAGTAAGAGAGATTGCACTAATGTAATCGCTAGAATAATAATGCAAAGCATAATGTAAGATAACTTAACCCTTAAGTGTATGAATATAAATGAATTTAATATTAACCTTTATGTGCACAGTTTAACTATAATAGATTAATTGCTTAATGTGAGTGCCGCCACATATATATGTATTGTATACTTATGTATATTTATATGTATGTATATATATATGAATATAAAAAAAAAAAAATTTTAGTTCATACTATTACATTTCTGTTAGCTTTCTTTCGTTTACATTTTATTTTGTTTTAATTTCTTAGCTTTCTTTTTTTCAAAAAGTTCTAATTTCAACGATTTCGTGTTTCTTCCGCTTGTTTTTTTTGTTTTCTTTACTCTTTTTTCGTTATTTTTAATAGTTTTCAAAGAAAGAAAGATTTTTGTTTAAAAAAGAGATAATTTTTTAGGTCCAAAAGGACTCACCCTAGTGTTGCAGCAGGCCTTGGTGGGGCCTGCTGTTGTTGTTGCTGCAGGTGTCGTTTCCGGGTGCTCACCCCGGTTGTTGTTAGCCGCTTCCGCGGTCGCTGAGTTGCCGCTATTTGCGCGGTCGCTGGCGCTCTGGCGCGCTGGGTTGCCACTCCCTTAGGCGGTTGCTTGGTGCCGCCTCTTAGGCGGGTGTGGTGTTGACCCGGGTGCTCACCCCGGTTGTTGTTTATACCCGGGCGCTCACCCCGGTTGCTGGTTTGCCGCTCTTTGGGCCGTTGCTGGTGTCCTGGCGCGCTGGGTTGCCGCTCTTATGGGCGCGCTGGTTACCCCGGGTGCTCACCCCGGTTGTTGTTTGCCGCTTCCGTGGTCGCTGCGTTGCCACTTTTTAGGCGGTTGCTGGTGTGCTGCTCTTTGGGCGCGCTGGTTAGCCGGGTGCTTACCCCGGTTGTTGACTGCCGCTTTCGCGGTCGCTGAGTTGCAGCTATTTGCGCGGTCGCTGGCGCGCTGGGTACCCGGGTGCTTACCCCGGTTTCTGAGGTGCCGCTCCTTGGCGGTCGCTGGCGTGCTGGCGCGCTGGGTTGCCGCTCTTTGGGGCGGTTACTTGGTGCCACTCCCTAGGCGGGCTCTGAGTTGCCACTCCTTGGGCGGTCTTTGACGCTCTGGCGCTCTGGCGCGCTGGGTACCCGGGTGATTACCTCGGTTGCTGATGTAGTTGTTGTTGGCGCCGCTCCTTGGTGGTTCGCTGGTGTTGCGGTTGTTTGGGCCCTGGCGCGCAGGGTTACCGCTCGTTGGGCTGTTGCTAGTGACCCGCGTGCTTACCCCTGTTGCTGTTGGTGTTGTTGGTGTCGCTCCTTAGGTGGTTGTTGAGTCGGATGGAATAGCTGCAAAAAAAAACTCATTGTACAAATAACCAAAACCCCCTTGACTGTTCGACACTGGATTCGTCCATGGCGTCAATTCTACAATATACGTGTGTGTTTGCTTGCTCCAAGTTACTCCATACAAATAAGAAGCTGGAGCAGAAAATCGTGCTCTCAACGAAGGTAAAGTGCTTTGGAGTGAGGAAATCCTCCAGGAGCACCCAGAGCAGCTTATTACAGAAGTTATGGTTATTTGTATTAAACAAGACTTACCTTGATTTCGGCTGCTGCGGAAGCTGCTGGTTGTCGTCTTCTGTACAGTTTGGGTACTGGATGATGGTATGGGTGCCCTCCACCCAGTGGCTTTTTATTTTAGGCTTTTTTTCACTCCACTAATCACTGTAGGGTTTAATTTTCTTCCCCCTTATCTTCATTTCACTAGCACTTTTGTTCCTATTCTTTTTTAATTATTTTTAATGAATTCTTTCTTTTTTTTTGTTAAAAATTTTTCTTTAGAAAAATGTGTCACTTTTTTGTTTGCTTCGCTAGTTGACCGGTCCGAGTTTATCAAAAGGATTTTGCTAATGGCCGACTGCCATCAGGTTTTTATACCCTTGCATTGCGGGAATATTCCATTTGGAAGAATAAGGGGCACTGTGTCATTTGGACTAGTTCCGTTACTCCTCCAAATGGAATTTGCCGCAGTGCAAGGAGGAATATCAAAAAAAAAGCCGGGATTGCCGTGACTCCTTTGCAAGTATTTTTTTCCGGACTGCAAACAAACAATCTTTCCGCAAACAAAAAATCTTTGAAAATTGCTAGTTTACCAATTTGACAGTTTTGTGGTGAATACAAACGTCAGAATCTAAGTGTAATCAGCCTTATCATGAGCTTCATTTTTCAGGATAAGGCAGAATATTGTGGGCGGTAATAAAGAATGAAAATCAAAATGGAATCTGATAAAAACGAAAAAACATACGTTACTTGCAAGTTATAAAAATAGATGCATATTTAACGATTTCAGCAACACACAAAATAGAGCTTCTGCACGAGCATTTGTGTGTTTCTGTTTTCCAACTGTCAACATTGTTCCTTGCGTTTTGCCCAGCAAAACTCAATTTATTCGTACACCATACAGAAAAAGTTACCGATTGCCACTGGCTCTATATCAGAATATTGATAATGGTGCCGCCAGAACGCTTTAGTACAAAGGAAAACGTAGCTGTCAAACTACCAAGTCACCGCAGTAGATGCCAAAATACAAGCCCTGATATATATTGCTCTCTATATTCTAACATTTGTGTCAAGATATAAACTGAATCCTCCGAAGACGGGCAGTTTCAGACAGCTGTCACAAACCATCACTAGCCTCCGCGGGAAATCGTTTATTAACCGAAAAAAAGTAGGCGAACAGACCTGCAGGAACTAGTGAGAATTAGCGACTCTGTCCGCAAGGAACACAGCTATCGCAAAATGGCAGACATTCCATGCAGTTTTGGTGTTGCCGTACGCTCTAGAAAAATTATTAGATGGTGAAATTTATGACATGCTACCGGGTGCACTAGAGTAACCCATAACGATTTTTTTTAATAGATTCTTCTCTCCTTCGTCTGAAAAGGCCACAGCTTGCTACATATTTAACTGCATTAGTTTTTTCACGAATGCATTCCAAATAAATGTACGCGAATTCACAGATATAAATAAAAATGGACAATTTTGGGTTATAAGGTATTGCCTAAAGGGGCGCCTCTACAATTTCGATTTATGCATATACACATACATATCTATAACCCGTTAAAATCATTTCCACTAATGGTAACCTTTACCAAAGCTGGATTTATTTTTCCCCCGTTCTACTACTTTTAAGATACATGCCACAATTAAGACAGTCTACCATTTGGTGAGTTTGTACTGATATCACCCTTTCTTATTCCACCATGATTACAAACATTATATATAAATGAATATGTAAATGTATTAAGCTGCTGTTAAGATAGATCCACTGTGTTTGGAGTGTAATCTGGCAAAAGTTCCCATATTTTCATGCGCCATCGTTGACGTCTCTCTTCTGTTTCTATTTCTAACCGCAATATTTGTGGTAAACGTTGCCAGCAATCCAGCACCTTCCATTTTAAATGCCTGAGAAAGAAATAATGTTAATAAAGCTTCGATGGAAGAGCATGTTTATTACCATTCATGATGAGAGTTTGCCTGATTAATTTTAGATGCTTCATTTGCCCGCATGCACGTGTTATACTGAACCCAATATTTAAATACTATTTCGGCTCGCTTCAAGTCGCACCAGTCAACGGCAACATTAAACTTGCTGTGTTCTTCTTGCACGTAAAATTGCCATGCTCGCAAAGTCTTTCGTTTTGAAAATTTTTCGTATACTTCTTCAGCCAATGTTAATTTTTCGTTGCGCAATTTTAGATAATGGTCTCGCCAATTTAAGAAGTATGTGCGTTTGAAAACCTTCTTCCTAAACTGCTCACATTTTCGGCTATTATCTCGTTTCCGTTCTATTAATTGTTTAAATCTTTCCACTCCAATACGACGTAAAAGCCAGCATGTATAGAATTCATCAGCTTTACACTTTGCCTCAAGTGCTCGTTGATATTCGCGCTCCTTAAGTATTTTAGCCGTTTTTTCTAACCGACGTTTTTCCTTTAAAGCTCTGATACGAAGTCGCTTGGTTTCTTCATCTTCCAATCGCTAAAAACAATAATTAATGCATAATTCTTCCATAGCAAACAAATTTGCAAAAAATCGTGTAACTCTGCCGCTACCAATCAATATATCGTCGTTTAAACTACAAAACCGCGTATCGTAATTCTGCAAAACCGCGTAACTGGCATTGGCTGCCAAAAATTGAATTTGCTCACACAAGCTCTTTGCTCAATCCTTATCCATTCGTCCTGAAATATACTAGCCAGATATGCGATTGCTTTATAAAAAGAGAACCATTTTGAAATATGAGTGTTTTACGCTCTAGAAAATAATTTCTACAAGTTCAATTACGCGGTTTTGCATTTTTGCTGATACGCGGTTTTGCATTTTGTTGATACGCGGTTTTGCACTTTAAACGACGATATGTACATATGTTCGGCTTCAAACAAAAATTGGTACTAGTACAAGTAGATGGTAAATGGGTTGATTGTGAGCAAATTTTGTAGTGTTAAATTTTCAAGGGATCCTTTGTGTAAATATAAAAACCATTTCAGCAGCAAGGGGAACAGCAGCTTTTCCAACGAAAAAAACAAAAACACCGGTGCCAACAAAAAAATAAAAATATCCTTAGAATTAAACGCGAATGATGTGTACGATATCTGCGGGGATTTTGTAACTGAAACAAATACATATTTTTCAAAGATTATTTTCCCGAATATTTGAACATCTAAATTAACCGTAATCATATCGCGGAAATAGCGAATGAAATATTTAATAATGAAGCATGCAATTTAAAAGCAGAACTAAAGAAATCATATAATATACATACATCAAAATCGATAGTGCTCAGCGACTTTCCCGCAGTGTTATCTGCTCAAACGCACAGTATTTGTTGAATGGGAAGACAGTGATTTACACACTATCAATTTCAAATTTGCAAGAAAAACATACGGCTAGCAAAGTAAAAGAATTTATTTTGGAAAGTCTGCAAAGGTATGTAATTGATTTATGAATCCACAGTAGTTTTCATTTTTGAAGTGAAACTTCTTAGGCGGCGGTATCGCAAAAATGGAGAGTGAAATTTTTAAAACTGAAAACGTTACATGAGTGAAAAGGAAGATATAGGTAGTATAGGGAAGGGGAAAAAAGAAATAAAGCGACGCATGACGGGTACGAGTACCTACTTTTTTATATGTGTATGTTTGAATGCACGTATGTATGTATACATATATATGTATGTATGAACGAACTCATTGCGCATTTCAGCTCTGCCGCTACCAATCAATATATCGTCGTTTAAAGTACAAAACCGCGTATCGTAATTCTGCAAAACCGCGTAACTGGCATTGGCTGCCAAAAATTGGATTTGCTCACACAAGCTCTTTGCTCAATCCTTATCCATTCGTCCTGAAATATACTAGCCAGATATGCGATTGCTTTATAAAAAGAGAACTATTTTGAAATGTGAGTGTTTTACGCTCTAGAAAATAATTTCTATAAGTTCAATTACGCGGTTTTGCATTTTTGCTGATACGCGGTTTTGCATTTTGTTGATACGCGGTTTTGCACTTTAAACGACGATATGTACATATGTTTTTATGGATATATTTATGATGAAGCAAACGGGCTTCGTTGATGTACTGATGGGCATATGTATGTACTTATGGACGGCAATGTTTTCGTGTAAGTACATACGTTTCAATGGTTGTATATATATTTTTATGTATGTACACAGTGGCGTAGCCAGGGGGGAGTTGGGTGGATAGATCCTCTCCCCCTTCGTCAGTGAAATGAAACTTTTTATTTTTGAATTAATAACACAATACTATTTTACCCGTCCGATTTATAATTTTTTTATTTCAGACTGATGACAAATTATCTTTTAATGAATATATAAAATTATCGGTTGGTGGATTATGTATTTGAATATTTGCGAAATACATCAGGCCATTTTGCTTAGTTCTCCACAGTGTTGGGAAATACAATTTTTCCTTCAGTACGAAATCTATACAAAAACTGTACTTTTCGACTGTAAATTGTATCGACTTTTTTAATTTGCTCATATGCATGCATGCATACATAGATTCCCTTCAAGACCAATGATTTGATGGTATTCACGGGAATGTTTATGTAGGTACATTTACATATTTTACACTTTTAACATAAATGTCAAGGCAGATATTTTAAGATACACTTCTTAACAAACAAATTTTTTTAAGTTATTATGAATGGATAAAAGAGACATCTTCTTTGAATTCAGTACTAAAACTTGACATTTCAAGTGCTTATAAAAACTTTATACATTTAAACTAGATTGGCCATTTATCTTAAAATTATATAATTTTAATTATTTGTTTATAAAAATGCAGTTTACACTTAAAAAAAACCCGTATAAATCCGCAACATTAAAAAAATCAACAAACTTTCGTAAAGCTTTTTAATTAGATTTCCTAGAAACACATATTTTGAGTATGCAGTTTTGTAGCCCGATCAGCTCCGACTTATCGTTGATTTTTAACTGCAAAATATTAAGAGATAAAATTGAAATAGAAAGTTCGAAATTTTAACAAAAGTTTGTCGATTTTTTTTTAATGTTGTTCAAATATTATATTTTATAAACAAATAATTCAAATTAAATTATAATAAAATAAATAGTCAAATATAGTCAATATGTGAGTGTCGTAAAGTTGTGATATTTAAGAACATCTCTTTCTTAATTAACGATGACTCTGTTTCTATATGAAGCTCATTTCGACATTTTGTTTTAATAAAATTTAGTATCGAAAATATTCTTTCAAAACTTGCCTAGGAATGTGATATAATGGTTCGTTCAAAACCTTTTTTCAAAACATATAAAGGCAAAAACGAGAAGGCGAAGACAAAAAGAGAATAAAACAAGTAAGAAAGTCTAAGTTTGGGCGGAGCCGAACATTAAATACCCGGCGCAAGTATTAAATATATGTTTTTTCACCTTTCCGAAACCTACCGCTAGAAGGTAAGGTGTATCAATTTTGAGTAAATTAGCGTCCTTAAATTTCGAAATATTGAAGTTTCAAGCATTTCTGAAATTTACCGTTATATGAGAAGCGGCCGTAATTTTAGTCCGATTTCAATAATTTTCACCGTTTTGCTTTTATGTGGCAAGCACAATAAAAATACCGGGTTTGGTACAAATTGGTAGAACGGTTACCGATATACATATATGTGATCATAAGTGGGCGGTGCCACGCCCGTTTTCCAAAATTTTACCATAAGCGTATTTCTTGGTAAAGAATTGTTGCAAGCATCAATTTTGAACAAATTAGCTTTAATATGTACTGATTTATCGAAGATTTTGTATTTCTCTAAATTACCGTTATATGGGATGTGGGCGTGGTTATTGTCCGATTTTATGAATTTTCGGTCATTTAGTATGCTGTACCCAGGCCAACAACCGTGCCAGGTTTGGAAGAAATTGATGCAGCGTTTACCAAGCTATACACATGTAACCATAAGTGGGCGTGGCTACGCCCATTTTCCAAAAATTTATAATATTCTTATTTTTCGTCTTAAAATTATTGTAAATATAAATTTTGAGTGAATTATCTTCAGTTGTTACTAAAATATCGCAGTTTTCGTATTTCTGGAAATTACCGTTATATGGGAAGTGGGCGTGGTTACAGTCCGATTTCGCCCATTTTTAATACCAACCTACCTGCTGTACCAAGGCCATTAACCGTGCCAAGTTTGGAAGAAATTGATGCAGCGTTTACCAAGCTATACTCATGTAACCATAAGTGGGCGTGGCTACGCCCATTTTCCAAAAATTTGTAATATTCTTATTTTTCGTCTTAAAATTATTGTAAATATCAATTTTGAGTGAATTATCTTCAGTAGTTACTAAAATATCGCAGTTTTCGTATTTCTGGAAATTAGCGTTATATGGGAAGTGGGCGTGGTTACAGTCCGATTTCGCCCATTTTCAATACCTTGGATTAATGGAAACCTACATACCCAATTTCGTTGAGATATCTCAATTTTTGCTCGAGTTATCGTGTACACGGACGGACGGACGGACAGACAGACAGACAGACATGGCTTAATCGACTTCTCTATTCATTCTGAGCATTTATGTATACATTTGTTTATATCTATCTCGATTCGTTTTGGCTGTTACAAACAACCGTTATTTGAACAAAATTAATATACCCTTGTGCACAAGTGCGCTCGGGTATAAAAATTTCCCGCAGTGAATTTTCAGATTTTTAAAACGGTATAGTAATTTAATTTTTTAAATTTAAATAAAGCATGAAGACCCCATGGAATAAACGAGTAGATAAAAAATACATAACGGTAAAACTGGCACATACATAAATAGATGAGAGAATGCACTCAGGCGACGCCTCTAGCCATTGTGTGTCACAGATTTAAGTTATCGATGGAAATTTTTTTTTTCATGCTCCCCCCCAAAGCCAAATCCTGGCTACGCCACTGTATGTACATATGTTTGTGTATGTACATATGTTTGTAGTGTAGTACAAACGCATGATGCAATAATACAGGTGTTATCAGTTGGCAACTTCTCGCTCTAATTCCGCCATATTGACTGCCTTAGGTGAGACAGTGTTACTTCTTTAACAATTCTTTGCCTAATAATATAGTTGAATATTTTTTTTTTCTCAATATAAAAATTTTTTTCCTAAAAAAGGTATTTTATTTTATTTTATTTCATTTCATTACGAATATACTATAAAAAAGCAAATTT